TTTGAAAATTTTAATTTGTAAATTCTTTGTATTACTTTGGGCTAGTAAAGGTCGTATGTAATGCTAGTGTGCTTATTTTATTGAATTGTAAATGAATCAAGATTCAAGACATGGGTAGCTTGTGTGTCAGCATGACTTACTTTCAACTCTAGCTTTGCATGGGAGTAAATGTCAACATGGGTATCATATTATATGTGTCATATTTTGTACGAATGATATATTTAAGATTATTTACTTTTGAGTTGAACTTGGATATGACCATAGTGATTGGGTTTGCGGTGGTGCTAGTCTAGGAGCTTTTTTTTTTTTCCAATATTAATTATGATTAAGCTGCTAGAGTATAATATATTACCAACGTGCTTTTTTTTTAACGTATTAATGTGTCACTGGGATATGTCATCACCTGTAACTCTTTAAGTACCTTTGCTTGCTTACCTATTTTTCTTTTGACGAAAGTCTATGTATATACTAGTTAGAAGGTTGACCTTTGGCACGTCTGTCTTGTTACACCACACATACATCACCTCTCACAAAAAAAATTATTGTTAAATATTAAATAAATCTATCATTTATATTAAGCCAACGGCTGAAACACATTATGCAAGTACAATGTTAAAGTTCTTATGTGCATGTACATTATGCTATTAATTAAGTTCATGAATCATGACGTTCTTATGTGCATGTAATTTATGTGCATGTTTGGTATACAGGGTATGATAAAACATGATACTATAAGATCTGATATAAGGTCTGATTGTATAAAATCTGATTAAATTTTAATACTATTCAACGTTTGGTATGATATTGTTTAAGATAATATATTGTAAAAGATAATATCATCTAATGTTTGGTAACACACGGTATAATACTCGATATCATAAAATAAATATTTTTGACAAAAATACCTTTTAATAATGAATTTATATAATTCTTTCAAATATATCAGATGATATTGATTTGTATAGAAATCTGTTGATCAGTGTGTCCAAAAAAACAAATTAATTTTTATAACAATAAAAAAATCTGCAATATTTTGAAAAATTATATATTGAAAAATTATTTTTTATTTTAATATATTAATATTAAAATAATATATTATTTCTTGAGAACTGTGCATTAGTTATTACATCAATCCCTTATCAGGCATAATCCTACCCTCCTAGACCTCATTAAGTTATACATCATTTTGATGTATAAAGAGATCATGCTATATAAGCTTATACTATACGATGGTGACACCAAACAATTAAAAATGTCATAACATATAGTATAAGATTATACTATTAGACCTTATACATCACATCAACTGGCCTTATGGTAAGTCCTTGGACAACTTTTGGACACGTGACATCAAATGGTGCCATTTTAGAAGCCTTAGAAGGCTAGACAACACTATATATCTATATATTATAAAAGAATGTCATTCTTTGACAAATTTGATGACGTATTGCTCTCTCCTTCAATTTCAGGTTTATGTTCACACTAGAAAACATTTAAAATCTTTTCTCTTTTAGTAAAAAAGTAGAAATACAAAAATATAAAATATATTCGAATTTGCAAATAAATTAAATGGAAAAATATGTGAACAATTGTTGGTGGCAGACAACTCATTTAATGTCCTACTACTTTCTACATTGGAATTTCTAAATTAATAATATCTCACTGCTTTCTGAAATCTTGATTTTAAATTTTGAATTTAATTTCAATTTCAATTTTAAATTTGAAGTTTTATTTTTATTTTTATTTTTATTTTTATTTTTTAATTTTTAGAGTAAATACCTTTTTTGATCCCTAACAAAAAACACGGTCCCCACTTTAGTCCCTTACAATAATAAATTAGTCAGTTAGTCCCTAACAAATTCAAGGTGGACCCATTTTAGTCCTTTTGAGGGACTAATACGGGTCTTTTTTGAATTTGTGAGGGACCACGATTTCAACTAAATGGGTCCACTTTGAATTTGTTAAGGACTAACTGACTAATTTATTTTTGTAAGGGACTAAAGTCGGGATCGTGTTTTTTGTTAGGGACTAAAAATGGTATTTACTCTAATTTTTATTTTAATTTTTAATTTTTAATTTTTAATTTTAATTTGAATTTGAATTTTTAATTTTAAAGGATGGGAAAATATTTGAACAATTGTTGGTGGCAGATAGTTCATTTAATGTTCCACTACTTTCTACATTGGATATGTTAAATGTATGTATTATTTCAAATTGTATTATGATTAAAAAAGACCTCTACTTGCATGTATAAATAGGAACACTTCAGGCAGATTTTTGCTATGATTTTTCTTTTGTTGCTTCTGTCTCATATATATATGAAAAAATATTTCTCAAGTTGCTTGAGATATATTTTTCTCCAGTTGCTCCAAAACTATGTCGTTTTGTTTATTTATTTCCTTATATTAATTGATTCACCTTTGAATGGTTATGATTCTATTTTTCTCTCTCTTCCTTTATCACCATTGATCCATCTTTGTACGATTTTGATTTAGTGGCCGAAAATAAAGTTATCTCAAGCAGCTTGAGAAAAGATAAGCCCTATATATATATATATGGGGTTTACATTTATGCAGCTGCTGTACATGCAACAATCAAATACTTGCCATATATATACTTGAAAGCATTAAATGTAGGGAATCATAACCATACAAAAGTTGAAAGCTTTAAATGTGAGAAATCATAACCATACACTTGTCATTGTTGTATGTAAAGCAGTTGCAAAAAGAATTTTACCTATATATATATAGGGGGGAGGTGAATGACTCAGTTGTGCTTCTTGACATTAAGATGTATTTATCTTAAAATATACATAATTCTTTGAGGTTATGACATGGATCCAATTAATTTTGAGCAGTTTTCTAATCATACAGGCAAGCTGCTTCTATTTCTTCATTGCACTCCTAAGGTCATCAAGCTCACAAGGAGACTAGTAATTGAGAGTTATTGTGTCAATTTCTTACCATGGAAAATATTACAGTAAATATTGCAATGCAGTGAGGGATTTACTAATTCACCAGGAAGATGAAAGAGGTGCTGACATTAAACAGATGACAGAACAGAAGAGGAGGAAGTCCAGTTTGTAGCTGCAAATGATGATGAAGTGATGATGTTGAGGAAAGAAATTGAGAGATTTAATGAAGAGAACGTGGCTCATAAGTTCCATTGTGTATTGTTGTATTTGGAATTCCTTGTATACAATTCGTATTCATTATGATAGTTTTAATTTGTAAATGTGATATTGTATACAATTAATATTTTTCAATATGTATTGTAGTTTTTTTTGCCATTGATCTTAGTTTAATTGTGTATTATATGCTTCAAATTCCTATTTATTTGTTGAATTAAAATCTATAGGAAAGATATTTTTAAAAAAAAGTAATTCAAATATTTTTGGTGAGATTTAACCAAAAATTTTAAAAAATTAATTCAAATTTTTTTACGAAAAACAAATTCCGTCGAAGATTTTCAACGAAAATAAATTCCGTCGAAGATTTTTCAAAGAAACAAATTTTGTCGAAGATTTTTCACAGAAACAAATTCCGTCGAACGTCTTGAACGAAAATAAATTCCGTTGAAGATTTTCCACGGAAATAAATTCCGTCAAATTTTTTTGACAGAATCTCTATTTCCGTCGAAAAATGGGTTATAAACGAAGAGAAATTCGACAACCTAGATTCCGTCGAAAATTTCATTTTTGACGAATTTGTATCATTGTAGACGTAATTTTTCCGTCGAAAAATGGACTCTTTTAGTAGTGATAAGCCCCGAAACAAACAAGCAGAAACATATTACTAATAAAAACATATGTTGCATGCAATCATTAAGCACTAGTGGAATGAGGTCTGTAGGAGTGATATCAAATTATGGTAGCTCAGTTGGCGCATGAGAGCTGAGCAGATAAGGGTGAGAGCATATGTTCAATCCTTCCCAATATCATCTTTGGGAAGAATTTAAAACTTAAGGATTGACTCCCATGAAAGATGTGGTTTAACAAAAAAAAAAAAAAACCCTACCCTTCAACAAACAAACTTTGAAAGAGCCTCCTTATTTTTTTTATTAAGATAAGAAATGAAGAAAGCATGATTAATTCCTTATTGAGAGATTCTTTTGCATTTTTTACTCAAAGTATTACTCACCCTTATTTTTTATTAAGATAAATGATGAAAGCATGATCAATTCCTTATTGAGAGATTTCTATGCATTTTTTACACTAAGTATTACTCACCCTTATTTTATTAAGATAAGAAATGGAGAAAGCATGATTAATTCCTTACTGCGACATTCTTTTGCATTTTTTACACAGTATTACTCACCCACTTATTTTAGCACTTTCAGTCTCACCCGGAAAATGTTTCTTACTTCCATTTTCTATTCTTATAATGCAACAACAACCTTATGAAAAATATTACTCAGCAAAAATTAATCCATCACTTGTTTAATATAATGATGCCATGTTTAGTATCAACTTATTTTAAGAAAAAAACTATTTTTTAAATGAAAAAGTAATTTTCTTGTCACGGGAGATAAAATTATCTTCAGCAACCTCAAAACTACATCATTTTGAGAATCGAGAAAATTAAAGAATGATATTTTAGGAATTTTATTTATTTCTTTGTTACATAAATTTTACCAAAATACCTTTTATTAATTTTCCAACTCTTAAAACGATATAGTTTTGGTGGAGATAGCTTTTATCCTTGTGACAATGATAAACCCTTTTTTAAAACTTCTCAAAACTTACAATAAACAAAATTAAATCCAAAATAAGTTAATTTAAACAACCAATAAGTTGGCATTGTTCATTGAATCTTAAATTGATACATATGTAGTTCCTACCATTTTATTAAACTTCCTCTGAATTTTTCTAGTTTTAGCACACTAGCATTAAACCTTAACCTCTACGCGGCTTTGAAACTTTTGATGCATTCAATTCAATTCAATAAATAGATTTGGCAGTCTCCACAAACCACCCAATGAGCTTCAAAATGAGAGAGATTATGGAAGAGAATGACTTGGAGGGAGAAGTGAGTACTTTAAAGAACACATGGGTTCCAACATGGACAAAACAGATAACAATAAGGTCCTTAGTGACAAGCTTTATCCTAGGCACCCTCTTCAACTTCATTATTTGTAGACTCAGTTACACCTCAGGACTCACACCAAACCTCAATGTCCCTGTGGGGTTGTTGGGGTTTACGGTCATTAAGTACTACACAGCATTGCTCAACAAGTGTGGCCTCCTCAAGCAGCCATTCACTCGCCAAGAGAACACTCTGATCCAAACCTGCATCTTTGCCTCCTCTGGAATTGCATTTAGTAGTAAGTTTTTTTTTTTTTGGTTTCCTTGGATACCCTTTTTCTTTTTATATTTCATGAACTGTGTTGATATGAAATCTTATAAGAATTCAGAATTAACATGATATTAAACTGGTGTTCTCATTATGTAATATGTAAGTGAATTTACCATATCCTAAGAGTGCAAAGAAGTTGTTCTCTTCTTCTGTCCTTATTGTATATGGAGCAAGGAAGTCCTAATTTGTTTTGTAAAAATATTGAGCTTTGCTATGTGATTACTGATTAGGTGGCACTGGAAGTTATCTATTTGGGATGAGTCCATATATCACTGCAAAAGATCATGTAGAGGACACACCAATCAATAGAAAGAGACTCTCCCTTGGCTGGATGTTTGGTTTCATCTTTGCCATTAGCTTTGTTGGCTTGTTCTTTATTTTGCCTCTAAGAAAGGTTGGTACAAAGAAACTAGGCTCTGTTTCATTTCTGTTTTGAAAAACAGTTTTTTAATTTTCAGAACAAAAAAATTAAAAAACTCGTTTGGTAAGACCTATTTTGTAAAAATTGTTTTGAAAACTATAATTATTTTTTTGTTTTTAAAATCAAATTTAGAGAACATGCGTGAGTTGTTTTTGTTTTCTGTTTTGGTTTTTAACTTTCAAAAAGAAAAACATATAGAAAACAACTGTTTCCATAACTATTTTACAAAACAGTTTTAAGAACAAAAAACCAGAACACAATCAAACAGAACGTTTGATTAATGTTTTTAAAAACAATTTTTTTTTTTCAGAACAAAAAAACAAAAAAATTCGTTTGGTAAGATCTGTTTTAAAAAAATATTTTAAAAACTATAACTGTTTTTTTGTTTTTAGAATCAAATTTAGAGAACATACCTGAGTTGTTTTTGTTTTCTGTTTTGGTTTTTAATTTTTCAAAACAAGAAAATACAGAAAACAACTGTTTCTATAACTATTCTACAAAACAGTTTTAAGAACAAAAAAACCAAAACACAATCAAACAGGCCCGCGTGAATTGTTTTTGTTTTGTGTTTTGACTTTTAACTTTCAAAATAAAATAAAAAACATAGAAAACACATTTTTCCATAAATTATTATACGAAACAATTTTAAGAACAGAAAAACTAGAATATAATCAAACAGACCTACAATTCTGTAGATGTTCTATTACAGTTTATTAAATTTCAATTTCATTTGGTATTCCACAGGTTATGATTTTGAAGTACAAGCTACCATACCGTAGTAGAACTGCCACAGCTCACCTCATCAATAGCGTACACACACCAACAGGTTCAAAGCTAGCAAAGTTAAGTATTTATTAGTACAGAGAACTTGAATTTATAAACCTGATACTACATTAAATTAGAAAAATGTCATTTTTGTTTATAACCAGCTTAACCTCTTCATTCATATATATATATATATATAGGAAACAAGTTGCTTTGCTCTTCAAAAGCTTTTGTGGAAGCTTTGCGTTTGCTTGTTTTCAATGGTTTTTTAAAGCAACAAATGATTGTGGATTTAGCAGTTTTCCAACATTTGGTCTCCAAGCCTATAATAAAAGGTATATATACATTCATCCAAAGTATTTAATCCATTTTTTCATCCTCCACCAACATTGATTTGGTTGACTCCTTATCAATTTTTATTTGGAGTTCTTTTGAGGTTGTTCATGACTTAAAGTTCAATATAATAGTATTGAATTTCATTTTCAATAAACATATATATTTGTTTACTTTTCTCAAATTAATTGTTTCTTATTCTATATATAGTTTATAATTGACATGACACTAACCTGTGTTCATACATAATTTGAATCATCTTACAGATTCTATTTTGATTTTTCATCTACCTATGTTGGAATTGGAATGATCAGCACTTTTAATGCAAATGCATCTTTGCTAATTGGAGCCATAATATCATGGGGTATTCTATGGCCCTGGATTGACCGCAAGAAAGGCACATGGTATAGTGAAGACCTACCTCCCAACAGTTTAGATGGCATGCAAGGATACAAGGTAGAAATGTACATAGATTAAAAATTTTATTATTTATAATATAATAATATTTAATTTAATCTTTTTGAAGTTGTGAATTAGTAGTTCTAAGTTAAATTTATTAACAGGTCTACATTGCTATTGCTATGATACTTGGTGATGGCTTTTACCAATGCATCTACATGCTATTACGAATCACCTATAGTCTTAGCACACAGTACTTGAAGGATAAAAACTCATCCTCTGTAAACCCTGAAATTGTTCATCAAAACTCAAATGTAGATTATGATGATCAGTGTCGAAAGGAGTATTTCTTGAAAGATGATATTCCCATTTGGGTTGCTATCACTGGCTATGTAATCCTTGCAGTTGTTTCCATCATAGTTGTGTCCCATTACATTTTCCCTCAACTGAAATGGTATCACATACTTGTTTGTTACCTTATTGCACCAATTCTGGCCTTCTTCAATGCTTATGGATGTGGCCTCACAGGTTTGTCTTTGGCCACTATATATGGTGAAGTTGCCATTATTATATTCAGTTCTTGGGTTGGCATTGCAAATGGAGGCATAATTGCAGGCCTAGCATCTTGTGGTGTTATGATGAGCTTTGTTTCCACTGCTTCTGTTTTGATGCAAGACTTCAAAACTGGTTATCTTACCCTTACATCTCCACGCTCTATGTTATTCAGTGAAGTTTTTGGCACAATCATTGGTTGTGTCATGTCACCTTTGGTCTTCTGGCTTTTCTACAAAGCTTTCCCAATTGGTGACAATAAAAGCACTTACCCTTCACCTAATGGGGATGTTTACCGTGGGATTTCACTGCTTGGAGCAAAGGGTTTCTCTTATCTTCCTAAGAATTGTCTTAAACTAGCAATCATATTCTTTTGCATCGCTGTGCTCATTGATGTAATACATGATATGTTGAAGCATTATGAAAACAAGTACAAGATATATAGGTATATTCCACAGCCCATGTTCTTGGCTATCCCATTCTATCTTGGTGGATACTTTACCATAGACAGGTGCATTGGGAGCTTGATTGTTTACCTATGGGAGAAAAAGAACAAGAATAAAGCACAACATTATGTGCCTGCAATGGCATTTGGACTACTCTGTGGCGATTCTTTATGGAGTGTTCCAGCTGCAATACTTTCTCTTGCTGGAACTAAAGCTCCAATTTGCATGAAGTTTTTATCTGGGACAGTGAATCACAACTCATAAGATTGGCATCTTCCTGAGAAGATTTCTAATGCTGCTTCATTTTAGGGATAAGTATTTTCAATTTTAGGACCCGGTTGGAACAATGTCAGACCCTATATTGGAGGCGACTCGCCAAGATCATTTTTCATTCTAAGGACTTGATCTCAGACCTTTAGTTAAGAGACACAAGCTCCTTATTACTTGTACCAATGGTATTTGGTACTAATAAGAAATATTTACTCCCAAAGGATATATAATATTTTTGACTGGATCATGGATCAATACAAAACAAAGGGCCATGATGTCCAGCGTTTATTAGCACATCTTCCTAAAAGAGTTAAAGATTTTATATAGAGAAAGATAAGGGTAGATCATCATACACAAAGAATAAAAAATCGTACTATTAATCGGCTTACATCTAAAAGCTCGTGTACATAATAAATTAAAGAAATTAATATTTCTCATGTTGTAGGAGATAAATTTATCTCTTATGCACACAAAAAAAACGATACTCATATTTTTTTTTTTCTTCCTCTTCTCTTCACATAACCTCACATGGCCCCACACACTATTATCTGTGTAAAAAATAAAATTATCTCTTATAATATGAAAAATATTAATTCCTAAATTAAGATCGTTAAATATAAATAAAATCAATTAAAAGCATAATTTACACCAATATAAAATAATTCTACATAATATACGTGCATACGCACGCTACCACGCCAAACTGAGTTAATTTATCACATTGAATTCATCACGTCCGATTGGGACAACCAAAATCTAAATCAAATAAGCACTATAATATGGTTTTCATTTTAAATCACGGTGCTTAAGTACTCAACTGGAGCATTCGGTATCGTAAATTTTCCCAGTTATTAAGTTGTTCACAATTTTCAATTAGACTGAATGAAGTAAATTGGACAGGAGCATCAATTAGAGTGTAGCACTACATGTAGAATGTATCATTATCCAACAAAAAAGTGTTTCCTCACAAAACTAATTTGAATGGGAAATCATAGGCGACTTATCACAGCTTCTACCTCAGCAGGGGAATATAGATGATATTTTGGAGCCACCTTTGCAATATCAACGTTATTGGGAGTGACCTATAAGAACAAATAATGAAATTATAAACTAGTTATAGTTTCCATTTCAGGGGAGGGGGAGAAACAATCAACATTAAATATATCTGGTAATAAATTTTATACTCACCTTCTCTTCCATAACTTGCTTCAGAATGGATAAAGCAATTGTCTCAGCTTCTTGAAGAGTTAGCTCCTGCATTAACGATATAATAAATTAACACCCAATTTTTCAATTCATTTGGATGTTCTTCTAGTATGAAGGATAACCCTACGAAGCAACATTTGCAGGGATAGACAGAAACTCCATAACAGCTGAAGAAATTGTTAGTTTGAGTATGAATTATGAACATTCACTTGATATCAAAATATTTGACTGGTTTAACATTTTTCAGACAAGAAACACAGCTCATAACTTAATGGACACAAAATGGGATATAAATCATTTTGCTTGCAAAAATGTAAATGGAATAATGTCAAGTAAACAATTAAGGTATACCTGGTAGAAGAGCAAAGAGGATGGGACGAAAATAGGATTACTTATATTAATCTTGCTTATCATTGATAAGGTTCATTTCACTTCACAAAAAAGTACAGTGTCATCTTTGGGATTTTTGACAAAATGAATACATTATTTGAAGAAAGCTACCTTTTAGAAATGTTATTTATAAAGCTAATATGATAATTACTGTATAACGTGTTTTCATTCTTCTCCATCTTTCATAACATGCAAGACCAACAAAATCAATTTTCAAGACTTCCAATACCTACCCTACCAAGAATTACAAGTATGAAATATCCTCATTGCTTTTATGTTTCCATTCCTTTTTCTACTTTCCATCATCTTAGCGCAGTGTAATTTTATTGTTATAGGCAAAGGGTATTGGTTTAAACAACCCTCTGTAGGAAGATGATACCTTGTTGTATTGTTCTTGCAGAGAACTGTCTGCACCTTCTGACCCTGAACCAATAGCTTTTGCATTGCATTGCCAGAACGTGCCAGATGGATCAGTGTAATACCTGCAAATCGGAAACTTTCAACTGAATAAGAATAACATAGTCTAATTGAAAAATGGTATCAGGAAGACCATAAAAACTACGGAAAATTTGGTATTCTGGTGAATTAAGTAATGTTACTACCATATTAGCAATGCAGTTCATTTCTTTTACGTTTAAACAATAGTACAGTGGATTACTCTGACATGCAAGAATATGAAATCATGAAAATTGTTTAGATGGAGCCTTTATAAAGGTGAGAAACACAATTGCCCCCATATTTTTTCCAGTATGTAAGGCACACTATTGAGAAAAATGTTAAGTTCCAATCATCAACCATGAACTGGTTTTGAGGGAGAAACTGAAAGGTTTTACAGGTAACAACTGTAAAGGCCAATATATGTTGCTGAGAGTTTAAGGGTAGATAATTAACCCAAGAAAAAAAGAAAAAGAAAACAAAATTCTTCTATTTACACCACATACCAATGGTATAACAAGGAGGCATAAAGATGAACCAAAAATGTTACTTTTTTATAAGGACAAAAAGAGTAATAAGAAAATGTGAGGTAGTACCACAAGACTATGAAATAACTACAAAGAACTATACAGTTCCTTTAAGAAAAAAAGGGATACCTAATGAGGATTAGTTATCATCAAAAAATTTGTTTGGTGTTGTGTGTGATTTTTATTTTTTTTGGGGGGGAGGGGGGAGTGAGGTGGGAGGTTGGTGCTATAAACTCCCACTATACCCCCGGTCCAGGGAAGGGTCCCACCTATTGTGTAAGTCCATAATAGACAGACTTCCATTTGTAGGAGGATAATTACATGAAGACCTCGAGGTCCCATGACAGGGTCACACCTATTGTGTAAGTCCATAATACGCACTCTTACATTTGCAAGAGGCTAATTACATGAAGACCTCCAGGTCCCATGACGAGTGACGACAACACCAACTTTGTGCCAATGTTCCCCTTCACGATTTGTTATCCTCCAAGGACCAAAAAAATAAAGCAAAAATTACACAAAATGAATTCTTGGACTCAATTAGTGGATAGTTGGTTACTCATTAACCACTCTCTAGCCATGTTCAAACAGATCTGTTAAAAAGAAGAAGGAGAAGAAAGAATACGACTTCACACGAAAAATAAGCTCCCCTCCAATTAATCACCAACTTTTGAACAAGAAAGTCCGCAAAAGCACTGGATGAAGGATTTCCATCTAAGAAAGCCCAAGATAGACCAAAAGCCAATGTAGGATCTCACAGCCAAAGTAGCTAAATTAACCAGAACAACACCCCCACATTAAACCTTCAAAGCCTCTTTTATGAAGATTAATGCATATAATAGAGATGTTCTCGAACATGAAATGGTCAAGACATTCAAAAACACATCCTTATCTTCTGGCTACAAAGTAGGCCTTAATATTCGAGAGTAATTCTTATACTAACAAGTAGAAAAGCTAATGGCCAAGATCAGAAAATGGTGTGGTGGGGGATTAAGGAATCAAGAGCTGAAACAAATCCAAAGATACCTTAAAATGGTATTTTTGGCACAGATACTACTTTAAAAGGAAGTCTGAAAAGAAAATAGCAGTTTTCCCACCGTAATCCCCACATAAAGAAACAGGACAAAACTATCTGCCTCATTCGCATATCCTCCTCATAAAATGATTTCCATGCATAATCATATAACAGTTGGTTTCTACAATTACAAAATTGAATTAAAAAAATGACAATCTCAGGATAGACATACACCCCACAAGTAGCCATTGCATATTGAAAAGTATAACAAATACTTACAAACTAGGTCCATTCTCGTCATGGCCAGCAATGAGGAGAGACACTCCAAATGGTCTAGACTGCCAAAAGGGAAATGAAATACCAAAATTTAAAATGCATAATATGATTTATAAAAGTTCAACTTAAATTGAAATTATCGCAATTTCAAATCTTTCAGGCAACCATGGCATCCAGCTATAGTACCACCGCAGCCATTTAGTAATTTGTCCAAAAAGAAAGAGATTTATTGGCCCATGCAACAACACAACTCTGTCCCAAAAGCACCAAGCAAGAGGAATTATGCCTTTAAACAGAAATACAGTCTATTCAAAAGATAATGTTGAGATATGTGCATCCCAAAACTTTAAGTGATACTAGAGTTAGACCTCCACTAAACATTAACCAAGATGCAATATATAACATATATTAAATTGAATTCAGAAGATATCTCATCAAAAAAAGAACCCATAATCTCAAGCTGATTTGGTAATGGTAATTGATAACTAAGCACTCAATCTCCAAAATTGGATTTCACTATATTAATGCGTGTTGAAGAATAATGTTTGAACTCCTCCACATAAATTCACCTTTCACATGCATTTTTGTCGATCATTCACAACCTTCTCTAATCTTTCAGCAGCTATCTCCATTTTAAGACTTTCACTGCTGTCATTCCTATCTTCCTCACATCTTCTTAGAATCTCTCCATCTAGCTGTCTGCCTCAAACACATTTCTATCTCTTAATATATATTTTATTTGCTTATTTATTATTTTGTTGCATTAATTTTTGCCTGTATATTTTACATGGCTAAAGTCTCAGTCCGTATTTGGTAAATTATTCAAAACATATATTTGGCTCCCAACACATACTCATACATACTCTCCATGGGTATCCAAACATGATCTAAAACACAACTTCAGCTTATTGCAGACATTAAAAATACCACTTAAACAAATTCAATTACACAGATTATAGATACACTCTCAGTTCATCCAACCAACCAGCCATAATTTTGAGTTTAAGCTCAATGAAATGAATTTAAAAATTAAACTGAAACAAATACAGCCAACAGTTTTTTCAAGCAAATAAGTGCTTATGAAACAACCTAACAAGAACTGTGTATAAATTGCTAGGCATATATATACCATTAAGCACTATACACAAGCAAACTAAAGTAGACATGAACAATAAAGCTAAGTAGTTTTTTACCATGGATTCTTCATCACCTTCGCCAAAACGCAAGGCTAGATCACAAAGAGCTTGAGTCGTGGACTCTACAGTCATGGATTCACCATAAGAGAACCTATGATTCTGTGAATAAAACAAAACGCAATTTATATATCCTTCATTAGCTAATGAACTATCTACTACATTCGAAAATATTAATAGCACCTGAGTTTCCACTCGTGCATGCTCAACAAGTGTTCGAGCATCGGCAATCAATCCACTCATTGCACAACCTATATGCTCATCAATTTCCATAATTTTCTCCACGCTACTAGGCTCCTGAAGTTCTAAACAAGTCAATATAAAAGAAATCGCATACAAGAAGGAAGTAAATCAAAATTCAAATTAGAGATTTGTTTCATGCACAACCTAATAATAATTTCGATCTAACTATCTAAGCCTGTAACCCCCAAAAGACACATACATCTCTTTTCACCTAAAGGAAAATGAAGGATGGAAAGCGAAAAGAAGATTGAGGTTAAAATTCAGAAGTACATTCAAAACCAACAGGATGCCCCCCAAATTCAAATTATGCAAAGCATATCTATCTCAACACTCAATATTTTGCATATGCATTTTGCTTAGGCATTAACATAACCTAATAGTATATTTATGCGTATAACTGCTATAACAAGATGATAAAACCTAGATTAAAATAATTTAAATGGAGTTATTCAAAAAAATAATAATAATAATTTAAATGGATATAAAACAGAACAAAGCCAGACCAGAAGGGGTGAAGTGATACGCTTTTCAACTGCAAGGACCACTCCATCTTTTGTCTTCAACCCAATTGCAGTTGATCCCAGCTGCAATCCAATCAAAATCCATTTACAAATGCAAACACATTAAACTAAGGGTTTTATTAATCTCCTTTTACATAAGACAGACAGATATCTTATGTTGTAGAGAGAAACTAAGTGGGTCCCACTATTACAAGAAAAAAAAAAAAAAGTGAGCTGCGAAAATCGAGCTGAGAGTAATATTTCCCTTAAACTAAATATGAAAAAATATAAAAAAAAATTGCATCAGTTATATTATTAACAAAACAGCACCTTGGAAATGCTAAGAGGGAAGAAGAAGCATACCTTGATGGCCTCAATTGCATATTCAACCTGAAACAAACGTCCCTCAGGAGAAAAGGTGTTGACTCCCCGGTCATACTCAGTCCTTTTCTCACACACAGACACATACATTTAAAAAAAGAAGAGGAAAACCCATTAATCGATTGGATGATAGGAAGCAGAATCAAGTTTAAATAAGCATTTTTGGAAGAAAAATAGAAAAATGGGGTTCACCTTGTGAGAAACATGTTGGATTCGATTTGATGAGATTACTGTGACGAAATCACATAACCTAAAGAGATTAGTGAAAAGGAACCAAAAGAGAAAAGAATGCGAAGCATTTGGAATTGAGGAAAGTGAGTGACTTACCCAAAAAGCTTGTTGCTATTCACTGTCTCTGTCATGGTTCCTTAGCATACTTTTTTTTTGCAGACACAATACTTCATTTTTTTATTTTTATTTTTTTGATAACACAATACTTCATATTTTATATATAAAAAATAATGAATACTAATTGTAACAACTTGTGTGTACTTGGTGCATTAACTTAATTAAGGTATTAAACACTTCTAGAATTAATCCTTAATCACTTAATTAGAAGTAAGATAATCTTGTGATGTGTAAGGTTGTGAAATAAGAGGTTGTTATGGTCAAAATGTGAATAAACTTTTTCTTTTTACATAACAAATTCATTTCGCGTTCATTAACATCTAACTCCTTAGATATAAAGTTTATCTTGGTTAAAAAAGTCTTACATAAGCCTAAAACCCCATAACAAGTAGCTCATATAATCCTAGAGGGGTAAAAGAGAGAATATTAAAATTAGCACAAAATGCTAAAACGCGCTCCTAAGCAACAAGTTTTCCTTCTATTTAACGCATTGTAATGCGTGTAACAATTATTTTAATCTTATTTAGCGCGCTACAACACCCTCAACCTTAGGGTTTTGGACCTTAAGCGTGTTTTAGCAAACTCTAGCATACTGTAGTGCGCCCATCTCAAAGGTTTTGGCATTTTAGCACCCTCTAGGATGCATTAGCGTGCTAAGTTCGAAATCTGAGATTTATTTTTGTGTCTTAGACTATTTTCAAGAGCATAAACACCATACTTTCACCTAATAAATCATATTATCAATTATACCAAAGAATCCAACATCACATACACATTCCAAATGATTCATCAAAAGATTTATCAACAATTCATTATGATGGTCATTGTACACACTAGCCTCCTAGATTTCAATTACATTACATCTAAAAGTATAAAATCCAAAGATTCATTAATCCAAGCTTTTATTACAGGTTATCAAAACATTTACAAGTTTCCTCGAAAGAATTGGTTTTGCAAATATTTATACCCCTAAGATATACAAGTAAAACCCCTTAAAAGACATTTAAACATCAAAAGATGTAATCAATCTCAATAGCTAGGCATGTTCTTTTCCCTATGATGGACCAATCCCTCCTCCATGAGTATTTGAAACATATCTCCAACAGGGGTGAGAGATAAATCTCAGTAAACTAAGGGCCCTTGGAGATTACTCCCTTTAAGTTCAATTGCCTACATGAAATGCTAGAATAATATAGCATAATATAACATTATATATATATATATATATATATATATATATATATATTGTTAGAAAGAATATATCTTTTGTATATCTGTAAATATTTATTTTTTTATTTCATTAGGATTTGTATTAGGTCTGGGCTAAGCCCATTAGAATATTGTCCACACTCATGGAGGGTTCTGCTCTTACTGCTCAAGGTTATTGTAAAACCCCCAAATTTCTAACAAATTATGAAACATTATTATAATAAAGAAATTGCCAAAATTCACATCTATTATTTATTTATGATCATAGAAATATTGCAGAAGCTAATCTAAAACTAATTTGGGGAAATGTTACTGTCGCACTCGTACATGGACAAGTGCAAGGCTAACTCTATTACATTCATAAATATTAAAATAAAATCAGAAACTTTGTTTTATACATAAAATTTAGAACTAGCTGGAAATTCTCTGAGTCATTATCCTCACTGCTCACTGCTAGCCCCATCTTTTGGAACCTGTATCGCTGAAAATCTGTTCCCCCAAAAGGATCATTGCAGTCAAATAAACACAAAAGTCAGCAAAGCTGGTAATCCTAATCAAAAACACAATTTACATAACTCAAATATAGTAATCAAATTAAATATATAATTTTATAATAATTGAATCAAATATCAACTTCATCATATATATAAAATATTCTCATCATAATCAGATCAAATATCAACTTCAATAATCATCATATATATTCTCATCACAATCACATCAAATTATCAACTTCAAAATATATATTCAATCGAATCAAAATATTATTCATAATCTTTATTAAGTTTATTTAGTGTATGTAGTAGGGATAATTATCAACTAATATATTCAGCACAACATTAATCATAATATGATAATATTCACAACTCAATTACATTCATCATAATGAAATCAAATAACAAATTTCATTTGTTAAATAACGAGAGAGAAGAGAGGAACATTTGAAATAAACTGTGTGTATTGACTGATGAAGGCTGTACAATATACAAACAGACTAATGGGCTAAGCCCAAACCTAATGTAATTTGACCTAATACAAAATAAGGAAACCCTAATTACAAAATAAGGAAACCCTACTTACAATATATTTCTAACACTCCCCCTCAAGCTGGAGCGTATAGGTCATATGCACCAAGCTTGTTACATATAAACTCTATTCGAGGGCCCCTCAAAGATTTTGTAAACACATCTGCTAATTGCTCATTAGAGGGTACAAAACTAATTTTAATTTCACCAGCAAGAACCTTTTCTCGAACAAAGTGGCAATCTATTTCTATATGCTTGGTTCTTTCATGAAACACTGGATTTGATGAAATGTGTAGAGCTGCTTAATTATCACAAATGAGAGTTGCATGTCCAATGTCTCCAAACTTAAGTTCTCTGAGAAGCTGTTTAAGCCAGATGAGCTCGCAAGTAGTAGTCGCCATGGAGCGGTATTCTGCTTCAGCACTTGATCTGGAAACTACGCTTTGTTTTTTACTTTTTCAGGAAATCAAGTTGCCTCCAACAAAGACACAATACCCAGAAGTAGATCTCCTATCAGTTGGACAACCAGCCCAATCAGCATCACAGTACCCAACCACTTTATCATGACATTTATCTTCATATTCAAGGCCTTTCCCTGGAGATGTCTTGATATACTTAAGAATACGAATGACTGCATTCCAAATTTCCAATGTTCTTGACATGGAGAATTGAGAAATTGACTGACAACACTAACTGCAAAGGAAATATCAGGCCGAGCGACTGTGAGGTAGTTCAATTTTCCAACCAATCTTCTATACTGCTCAGGATCTGAAAAGGGCTCCCCCTGATTTGGTAGAAGCTTGATACTTGGATTCATAGGAGTATCAACAGACTTTGAATTTAACAGAGCAGTTTCTTCAAGAATATCCAGAGCATATTTCCTCTGAGATATCACAACACCAGCTTTAGATTGGGCCACCTCGATTCCTAAGAAGTATCGAAGTTTTCCAAGATCCTTAGTCTGAAAATGATGACATAAGTGTTGTTTCAATCGAGTGATCTCATGCTGATCACTACCTATGATGACAGTATCATCCACATATACCACCAGATAAATAGATCCAGAAGCAGAATGACGATAAAAGAGAGAATGATCAGCTGCACTCCGAGTCATGCCAAATTGTTGAACAACACTGCTAAATTTACCAAACCAAGCTCTTGGAGATTGTTTGAGGCCATAGAGAGATTTACGAAGACGACAAACAAGACCTGACTCCCCCTGAGCAACAAATCCAGGAGATTGCTCCATATAAATTTCTTACTTAAGATCACCATGAAGAAAAGCATTCTTGATATCCAGTTGGTAGAGAGGTCAATAGCTAATAGCAGCCATGGCAATAAAAAGGCAAACAGTAGACATTTTCGCCACAGAAGAAAAAGTATCAATAAAATCCAAGCCAAAGACCTGAGTGAAACCCTTCGCCACCAAGCGAGCTTTAAGACGATCCACTTGACCATCAGGTCCAACCTTAACAACATAAATCCATCTGCAACCAACCACAGATTTTCCAGAAGGAAGAGGCACCAAGTCCCATGTGCCATTATGATGAAGAGCACTCATTTCATCAATCATAGCTTGTCTTCATCCCGAATGTGAAAGTGCATCACCTGTGGTCTTAGGAACAGATACAGAGGACAAAGAGGAAAGGCAAGCAAAATATGATGGAGAAAGACGATGATAACTAATATTGACTGTATACCTGGCCGGAGGGCGAGTATCACGAGTACCCTTACGAAGAGCAATGAGAAGGTCACTATCCGAAGGTAAGACCGAAGCCGTGGGAGGAGATGCAGTTGAATGTGAGTCCACAGATACATCTGACGAACTATGCTCGATCTCATCAGCAGAAGAGGTGATAGAAGGAGAGTCAGAAACATGGACTGGTAAAGACGGAAGGTAAAGAAGGTCACCTGGGAAGGACGATTGTGCAGAATCAGTATCCACAGGAGTAGTAGAGGATCCAAAAAGGGAACTGATTCAAAAAAGGAGACATCCGCCGAGATAAAGTATCGACGTAAAGTGAGAGAGTAGCAACGGTAACCCTTCTGAGACCGAGGATAACCCAGAAAAACACATTTATGAGACTTGGGAGCTCATTTATCCAAACCTGGACCAAGATGATTAACAAAACACGTAGAACCAAACACATGTGGAGTTAAAGGATATAAAGCTTGATGGGGAAATAAAATAGAGTGAGGTACCTTATGATTGAGAACAGATGATGGCATGCGATTAATGAGATAGCATGCAGTAAGTATAGCATCACCCCAGAATGTGTATGGAACATTACCATCAATTAACAAGGCACAAGTGGTTTCAACCAGATGGCGATTCTTGCGCTCGGCTACACCATTTTGTTGAGGTGTATGAAGGCAAGATGTTTGATGAAGAATGCCATGAGATGAAAAGAATTGTTGAAATTGATGAGATAAGTACTCATATGCATTATCACTACGAAAAGTACGAATAGGAATACCAAATTGAGTTTTTATTTCATTATAAAATAACTGAAAAATAGAAAACAACTTAGACCGCTTTTTCACTAAAAATAACCAAGTACATCTGGAATAATCATCAATGAAAGTAACAAAGTACTTAAAACCCAAAGTAGAAGAATGACGACTTGGTCCCCAAACATCAGAGTCAACCACAAAAAAAGGAGAAACAGCTTGACGACT